TCTGCGTTATTGTCATTGTTATTATAAATTTGCTCTGTCTTTGTTATGCAATAGTATCATTTTTATGTTATAAAAAACTAACCTCAAAATTGTTTATCCATTTAAACTTAACGCAGCGAGCGTTTGCTGCATCCATTTGCCAAGCTTTATTGTGAAGTCCAATAAACCGTATTTATTTTACCCCCTAAGTTGTCTGCCTAAGGGCGCGTTCAAACGGTTAGACGGTTAGTGAGGTGTACATGTTAATTTTTCAAATTAACCACGATGGATGAAAATCGAATTGAAGAATTTATAGAGAATGTAAAACAATGCCCTGCAGTATGGGATAGCAGTTCCGCCAGTTATTCCAATCGACTGGATAAAAAAAGTCACGGGAAAATTGATATATAAAATTTATTGACAATTTTGAAACTGAAACTACAACTGAAAAAACATAGCAGATGAGTCATTTTTAATACCTATTTGTGAAGTGTGTGCCCCGAGAACTAGGTAACGTCTCTTCGTCAGAATCCATCGCGTAACCGATTCCAAAGATAAAACATCACTAAAAATTTGGTCGTACTTCAGCAGCGCGACTGTCGCGCGGCCGCTGCGCGGTTGCAGCGCGGCTGCAGCGCTTCTAACAGCGGCAGCGGCTAATTTGAACGCGCCCTTAGAGGTGGGATATTTTTTTCAAATTTAAATGACAGTACTTACTGAGGTCCTCCGTTAGCAATGAAAAAGAATAATCGTATAACACATACGCACAAATACAGTCGAAATGATTTTTAACGCTCACAGCGTAAAACAAAACTTGGTTATTTTCAAGGTGAGAATGATTAGGCATTGTACGAGCAGTACATTACATATGTCGTAACTTAACCTAAATATGTTGCTGATCGCGCGCATTGTCGCGCTTACATTTTATGTACAATTACGTGTAATTTTAGTACAATAAAGACCTTCGGACAGTACAGTGCCTTACATATTTTGCATCAACCTACCTCAACCGAACGGTGTACTATAATCGAGGGCTGTAGCTCAGATGCATTGCGGGAGGTACTTTTAATAATATAAAAGCGGATTATCTTAAAACTTTGGTTTATTTTACCATTTTCATGTCTAGGGTTATGAAACAATAATCTTAATATCATATGTCAAGATCCTTCCTTATTTTCTTAGCGTTCCAAATACAAACTATAAACACTACCTATGTTCAGCCAGCAATCTTACTCAAAGAGTACAGCCTAGTCTACATCCCTCTTCCTCACAGCTGAAGGGGCGAATATCCCTAGCTGATGGTCTACCTATGATAGGCAACTTACATCTGCGATCAGCCTTTACTACAGGCTAGCCACACACTGCTCGGAAGTCACTAACTTACCAACAAGTAAACCACCGAGGAGGCTATGGCTTTGGTCTGCCAAAAACCTATCTAAAAGGACAGACCATGATCACATCCTAAACAAACAAATCAAAATATTTTCACTAGTTAGCTATCCTATCTAATTAGGGAACCTGACTAAACCCTAACACTTTATTTTAGCGACCCTAAACTGGCTGAACGACCCTAATAAAAATTCTAAACATCACTACAAGTTCCTAACTATCTCAGCCTAAGCTATCTCCAACGTGCATGCTGCCACAACGACGACACAGGCTTGAACATCCATCGGACGATCACTGGGTTACATCACTATTGATCTCCCAGCTGCCTTAGTCCTCATTTTGCAGCTATCACGTTCCATCAGCTTCACTTATCATCCTTAAACAACAAGAACCAACCCACATATAACGTCAACAACATATTCTAACTACATGTCCTCAGACATACATATGGTATGAGGGTATACCACATGAAGAATTTCTAATAATTAAATAAATATATTTTCCCAGAATGCAGACAGTCCTTGATCAACTGGAGGGATGAGCAGGAACTATTCGCACATACAGGATAATATATCTACCAAATTAAAAAAATATATATAAGAAAAACAAAAGTAAATGTTATCTATTTGATGGTGTATCCTCTCCTCCCTTCCTTCCAAGTCTGCATGTACAGGAAAATATTAATTTTTCTCCAAATATTTCTCATAAGGTCGATACCGTTCCACATGAAAAATAAATATAAAAAATTAATTAACCTAGCAGAAACAAACACATTAAATTCCCTCATATAGAACTTTTTCATCTTATTCACATGGAGTAGATTCTGCCTACCCAACCTTTTCCTATTCATACTTAATCTGCACATAATACAATTATTCCTACTCAACCAATTCACTACCCTAAGCTTCGCGTAACATACCTCTTTTTATATATCAAAGCAATCCTGTCTTTTTTATCAAATATTCGCTTCTGTTTGGATTGTAAACTATCTATACATTCTTTATGTGGATCGATCGAAGTTGCCCGCTTTATAAATTCACTTTGTAAATTCTCCACATTATTTACGATAGGTTTAAAAATGCTGCTTTCCGAATTATATTTTGCATTTACTTTCGGCAAAGCATAATTATAATTATTTTTATTTAAATCACATTGTTGACGCAATTGACACGTCTTATCACTCACGTCAACATTACTCGTCATTTCTGGCAAAACCGAGAAGCTATCTAAACTTTTTGATATCGGTTTCAAAGGAGACTTTTCTTTCTTTGGTCCAATATCTGTCATGGACTTAGAAAAAGAAATTTTATTGTCAACTTCCACTTTTGACAACTCGTAATTACACTTTTCCAAAACATCTCGACCCAGAACTAAATATTTTTCAAGATCGTCTACAACCAGCAACTTCGAAGGATAATCCTTCCCATTAATCATCAACGACACCTTGGTGGACGACTTCACATTTATTGGCGTTGCACCCACTGTACGTAATGGAAAACTTGGATTATCATCGATACGCAATTGCAACCTTTCCGCAAAATACCGAGAAATTACTGAAACTGAAGCATTAGTATCCACCAACGCCTCGCAACTCACATCATTAATAAAAACAGATATAAAAGGTGCCCTATCTACGCTAGAACTATCAATTGTAGACAAATTTTCTACATGTTCAGTTGCGCTTTTCTGACAATCACGTTGCGGAGATCCCGACGAAGATCCACTACTATGTGCTCGTGAATACCCTTGACTTGGCGTATCCTGCTGCACAACTGGTGCCTGTGGCACTAAATCTTCCGACTGCTTAGACTCGGGTCTAATTATCGGTGCAGAGACATCCTGTGTTTGCCAACAGTGAGAATGCTCTATTTGACAATTTACTGGCAATACAATATCTTCTCGACTCACACTATAACTGTGATTAAATACGTCATCTACTTGTATAATTGTTTTTCTCAACTCCTCTTTAGATAGATACAAATTACTTGCCAGCATCCATTTAAAATTGGGTATGAAAGACTTCAAAAAATGCTTAATAAACTGAACATCTTGAATATTCGCTTTCCTCGCTAACTCATCTAAACTATAAAAATAACTTATAAGCGATTCACTATGCCCCTGTCGCCTATAATAAAATTCTCGGGCGTAATCAATTTGTGAGGGAAATTCCTCTCTCAACCTCTGTGCAATCACATCATACGACACGTATGAAGAAGCATACGTTTTGTACCATTGCAGAGCTGGCCCCTCCAAATACAATGCAAACACGTATTTCTTCTGCACATCAGACCAATTATTTAAGACGCTAATGGTCTCAAATTGGTTCAAAAACTCATCTACGTCGTTGAACCCATTAAATCTTTGTGCCGACATATCATACATATTTCCTCCTCGCACTTTTTACTGGCACCAATTATAAATCAATATTAAATATAAAAATATATATTACGACCTTTTGTTACGCATTCCTGGTGGTTTTGTCGTAACAACATATAAACATTTTTCCACGATGGACTTTTCTTCATCGGAATCCTTTCATCATTAGTAGGCTTGCGTTCCTTATTTGCAGGCTTGAATTATGTTATACTTCTCCCGTTGCCAGATTTTTCAAAATAAAAATATAAAAAATTTTCACATCTGGATTCGTACTTTCTTCATCACCATCATATTGGGATCCGTGCCTCCACCATTTATAATAGAGGGCTGTAGCTCAGATGCATTGCGGGAGGTACTTTTAATAATATAAAAGCGGATTATCTTAAAACTTTGGTTTATTTTACCACTACAAGACTAGGCTGTACTCTTTGAGTAAGATTGCTGGCTGAACATAGGTAGTGTTTATAGTTTGTATTTGGAACGCTAAGAAAATAAGGAAGGATCTTGACATATGATATAAGATCATTGTTTCGTAACCCTACGCCAAAATTATGTAAAAAAGTGAAATAAAGTATAAAATTGAAGATTATTATAGTTTGAGTTTATAGAAATACCTCTCGCAATGCATCTGAGCTACAGCCCTCGATTATAGTACTCAGGGAAACATACAATTCCCATCAACATACATTCTTACGATCATTTTACATTACATACGTTGGGCACGAGCCCCAACATTTGGTCCTTCGAGCATCCTCACCATTGGTGAAGTGTGATTGTGCGTCGTATTCTACGGTAGCAAACCGGTCTCCTGGCCTCCCACAAGCGGGTCTCACCAGGTAGATTGAGGAGGTGCACATATCGTGGAGTGCGTAAGCAATTACACAGAACCAAACCTACGGTGAAATACAGTTTTAATTCACGTAAAAACATCGTGTAAATTGCACATACAACATCATGGATTCAACAAATGACATGGCTACTCTCCTGCATCGTCAAGGGTTGATTGCTGAATGTATTCGCAAAATGGAATCCAACGTCAAAAAGGATTCTGCGTCTCGGAAAACGGCGGATTACATTGAAAAACGGTTGGAACTGCTTTTTGTATATATCAAAGAATTTGAAGAAAATCATCTATATATATCTATATATATATAATCATCCCCACATTTTCTGGGAACTATGCACAGTGGCCCACGTTTATGGATTTGTACTCTCAAGCCATACACAATAATGCAATGCTAAACAAGGCCCAAAAAATGCAACATTTAAAGGGAAAACTTCGAGGAGAAGCCGAACGTTTGGTACAACACCTCAACATATGTGCTAGCAATTATGATACGTGCTGGGAGCTGCTAACGCATCGTTACAATAATCTACAACTTTTATTCACCAAACAAATACAAGTATTTATGGGTCAACCACCGGTTGTGAAGGTGACGTCATATGAACTGAAACGTTTGCATGACACCAGCTTGGAGACAATTCACGCCATTCACAATCTGGGGGTGAACACAGCTACATGGGACCCAATCCTAGTACATATCTTAACGGAGAAAATGGATCCTGACACATATGCTTCATACATGGAAGCAAGAAAGGAGCCGCGCGAACTGCCATCCTTCGATGAATTGATTAGCTTTCTTGAAAGCAAATTTACTGCCTTAGAACCTGTAAACCGAAAAAACAAGTCAATATCTACAAAACAGGAACAAGGAACTAGTAGAGAAACAACAAAACAACAATTAAGAAGCAACAAAGACTACAAGTCACCACTAAGAACATATCACGCATTCAAAAATACATCAAGAACATGTCCTATGTGTAAATCAAATCATATATTGATTTACTGTCCAGAATATCAGAAATTATCACCGGAAGAAAAAATGAGGACAATCAATCAACTGAATATATGCAAAAATTGCCTCTATTGCCACAATGCACAGAAACGCAATTCAAATAAAACATGCAAATTGTGTAATAAGTCGCACCATACGACATTGCACGAGTTAATTGCAACTCAACATAACGTGAATAAATATACGAAATCCGTGTCAACTATTTCACAACCAACAGCAACTCACGTGGCGGACAACTTTGACGAAATACTTTTAGCTACAATTGAGCTAAAGGTCAAGTCTGCAGATGGAACTTACATTCAACTGAGATGCCTTTTAGATCAAGGGTCACAAGTAAACTTGATCACAGAATCAGCTGCACAACGCCTCGGGTTACAAAGACACAAACAAGATGCTTCAATATCAGGCATTGGAATCACATCCAGTAAATGCAAGGGTACATACAACTAGTGTGTCAGTCTATGTATAGTGATTACAAATTTATGACAGAGGCCAAGGTCATGACAAAGATGTTAAACAACTTGCCTAATTTTACATTCAACAAACAAGATTGGCCACACATTCAAAACATACAACTGGCGGACCCCCATTACAATATATCAAGACCTGTGGATATACTTTTAGATGCAAGTGTGTATACAGAAATCGTTATGGAGGGTATACTACGCAGCCCAATTAACCCTGCTCCAATAGCCCAGCAAACAAAGTTGGGTTGGGTACTCCTTGGCAGTATGAAAACGTTCAATTGTCACGCTGTGCTGAACGACGTAGAACAAATTTATCAGTTCTGGGAAACTGAGGAAATTAATGATAACAGTCACACATTGTCATCTGAAGAAGAATACTGCGAAAAATTATACCAGAATACTACGAAAAGAGACTCAGATGGTAGATACGAAGTGAAAATTCCAATGAAACAGGATTTCGAAACACTTTTAGGCCCTTCAAAATCACAGGCAGCAGCTCAATTTCGGCAACTTGAAAAACGCTTAGAAAAGGATGAGTCGTTATCTGAAACATACAAAGCATTTATTCATGAATACATACAACTTGGACACATGAAGAAATGCACTACATCTCATGAACCTAGCTTTTTTCTACCACACCATGGTGTCATCAAGCCTAATTCAACAACCACAAAATTACGAGCAGTATTCAATGGCTCACAAAAAACAAAGTCTGGTTACAGCCTCAATGAGCTTATGTTAAGCGGACCCAATCTACAACAAGACCTGCTTACCATGATTATACGTTGGAGAAGTTTTCGATTTGTCTACACAGCCGACATAGAAAAATTCTACCGACAAGTGCGCATCCAAGAGGAAGACCAACACCTTCAAAAAATTATATGGCGTGATGACGTAACCCAACCCCTACAGGAATACCAATTGTGCACAGTGACTTATGGCACGAAAGCAGCTCCCTATTTAGCAATGCGCACAATTAAACAACTCATTACAGATGATGGCGCTCAATATCCACTGGCTGCAGATATTTTAGATAAACAACTGTATGTTGACGATTTATTGGGAGGACACAATGAACTGACACAAGCTTTAGAAGCACAGAAACAGCTAATTAATATGTTACATGGAGCTGGTTTTAACCTTAGAAAATGGGCCAGCAATGACGACAGGTTATTACAAAATTTATCCCAAGAGCAAATAAGTCAAAACATGCTAGATATCAAGTGTGCACAAAATAACAAAACACTCGGAATAACATGGAATCCACACACTGACAGTTTCACGTTACAAACAAAAAACATTGCTACTACTACAAGTGCCGATGATGTCATAACGAAGAGGTCATTACTATCCGATCTGTCGAAGCTATACGATCCTCTAGGCTGGCTGTCGCCTATAACAATGAAAGGAAAGCTTATATTTCAACAAGTATGGGCGCTCGATATTGCCTGGGATGACGTATTGCCACCACACTTGCAGCAGCAGTGGAGATCATTTAAAAACGACATTACAGCTATAGATGACGTAACAATACCACGATGGATCGGAAACACACAAAACCCAATAGAATTACATGGATTTTGCGACGCATCCGAACGCGGATATGCATGCGTTATCTACTGTAAAACTACGGACAATCATGGAAACACAATTGTCAGACTATTAGCGGGAAAAACGAAACTTGCCCCCTTAAAAAAAACAATAACATTGCCGCGTTTAGAACTTTGTGGGGCTTGGCTCTTATCACGACTTATGAAAACTGTCGTAGAGTCATTAAAGTCACAGACATTCACGATTCACGGTTGGACAGATTCAACTGTGGTCCTCGGTTGGTTACAAGGAGAAGTCTCAAGATGGAAAACATTTGTTGCGAACAGAGTCACTGAAGTGATTGAAATCATGCCAGCTTCCTGTTGGAAACATGTTCGAACTGAAGAAAACGCTGCTGATTGTGCATCCAGAGGTCTGCTGCCATCTCACCTGAAGTCACATATTCTGTGGTGGGAAGGACCTTCATGGTTGAAAGAGAAAATTGTACCATCTCAATCACAAACATATGAGACTCCAATCGAAGAACAGAAAAGAATTCAAACCTTCGTCACACAAACATCAAGTTCGTTTATCGAGACACTTGTAAACAAACATAGCAATGTGGAGCGGGCCGCACGTGTACTTGCATGGATATCACGTTTCATTAACCGAGCCCGCCGTAACAATAATGCAATGGTTACAACTTACTTACAATTGAATGAATTGGAAAATGCGCGACACCTGATGATAAAACACACTCAAAACATATTTTTTTCTGATGAGTTGGAACAATTACGAAAGAACAACAAGATAAATTCAAAGAGTCGTATTTTGAATTTATGTCCATATCTGGATTCACAGGGTATACTTAGAGTGGGTGGTCGACTTCAACAATCTGATTTGACAGACATGAAAAAGCACCCAATTATTCTGCCAAATAAATGCAACCTAACAGAATTACTTATTGACGAAGCTCATAAGATCACCCTACATGGGGGTATGAGGCTGACTTTCACATATCTACGAGGCAAATATTGGATTCTGAGAGGCGTTAGAACTGTTAAAGAACATATTTTGAAGTGCGTACGATGTCGCCGCTTCAAGGCGATCACTAACAACCAACTTATGGCTGAACTACCAAAGCCACGTATAACACCATCACGACCATTCACACATACCGGAGTTGACTTCACAGGACAAGTGGAAGTCAAAGCCAATAAAGGCCGGGGAATAAAAACTACAAAAGGCTACATTGCCGTATTTATTTGCTTGGCTACAAAGGCAGTTCACTTGGAACTGGTCTCTGACATGACAACATCATCTTTTTTGGCAGCCTTAAAGCGCCTATGTTCACGAAGAGGAACCCCGAAACATATTTATAGCGACAATGGGACCAACTTCGTGGGTGCGGCCAAGATACTTCAGCGTGAATATAGAGAAGCCCTACAGACTTACATCAACACTAATTTCATCGAATTTGCAACAAATCTCGGAATCGAATGGCACTTTAATGCTCCAGCCTGGCCGTCAGCCGGCGGGCTGTGGGAATCAGCGGTGAAAAGCATGAAGCATCATCTGCGAAGAGTCCTCGGTGAACAGAAGCTAACATTTGAAGAATTCACGACTTTACTAGCACAGATTGAGGCCTGCCTCAACTCCAGACCTTTGATCGCCATCACAGATGACATTGACGACCTGGATTGTCTTACTCCAGGACATTTTTTGGTTGGAGGCCCAGTCCTCGCTCCCCCACTTTCAGCTGACATGCAACCCATAAACGTCAAAACTAGATGGCAGCTAACAGAAAAAATGTTCAAAGATTTTTGGAAGAGGTGGTCCAACGAATACTTACAAACATTACAAACACGTAATAAATGGCAGCATCCTTCAAAAAATCTAGAAGTCGGTGATGTGGTGCTCATCAAAGAAGACCTGACTCCACCCGCGAGGTGGCCTTTGGCTAGAGTGACAGAAACCCACGCAGGTACAGATGGCCGCGTACGCGTTGTGACATTGAAAACAAAGAATGGTTCCGTCAAACGGCCCATAACAAAATTAACACGTTTGCTATTAGAAGAATTGAAGAGCGATGAACAAACAAATGACGCATCGTCCTCTACAAATGCACCTGAAAAAGCGGATCAAGTGAGAAGAACAACAAACAAAAGTTTCAACAGTTATCTTATATCACTCCTGTGGTTGTTATTTGCATGCATATCATCATCCGCTCAACAGTTGACGAACTTAACAACACTCAATTCTGCCAAACTAATTTACTTTGATAAAATATCAGATATGCAGATTGCACAAGATCATTGGAAATTAGTCATATATTATAACATGACAACATATTGGCAGAGTATAAACAATATTGAAAATTACATAACTCACCTGAACAGTATATGTCAAGGACAAACAGCGTTTAGCACTATAGCTACTCAATTTGAACATGAAGTGAAGGAGCTAAAACATTTTAATGATATTCTACGCTCTGAACATGGAAGGCGTGTAAAAAGAGGATTAGTTAACGGAGTAGGCTATGTGGCGAACTCACTATTTGGTGTGCTTGACGAGCGATTCGCTGAAAAATATAGAAGGGATATTAAATACATACGAAACAACGAAAATCATCTCTTAAGTCTATACAAGGAACACACATCAATCATAGAAGGAGAATACAACCTTTTGAAACGAAACGAAGACGTCATGAACAAACAGTTATACATCATCAACAAACATCTAAAAGAGAGTGAAAATCACATAATAACTAATCAAAATCATGCTTCTTATATCACTGCGACTGCGTTGGCTATAAATATGGTTATCTCCAATATACACAGAGTTCAACAACAGTTACTGGACTTAGTAACAGAAGTGAGAAATGGCCATATGGATACCTATCTATTGACTCCAGGAGAGTTCCAGGAACAACTGAACATTATCTCGGGACATCTTCCACGCGATCTTTCACTGCCATGTGTACAGTCTCCTGATTGCATCCGTAACATGTATAAAATATCCAGAGTAAATGTTAGAGTTACAGACAAGTTTCTTATGATGGAAGTGAATCTACCGATCATCTCGAATGAACTATATGAACTAAACCGAATTATCCCTATACAGCAAATAGAAGGAGATATGACAAGGACAGTCATTCCTACATCCGAATACATGGCAGTCAACATAAGAAAAGACTTATTAATAACATTAGACAGTGACGACATGAGGTCATGTGTACATTTAAATGAGAAACAAATAATTTGCTCATTAAACTTGCCCATTTACGATATAAAGGCGGCATCAATTTGCGAAGCTCAAATCATAAACAATAGGAACATATCAAATTGCCGCATAGCGTTATCACAGTGCCGGCACGAGTGGATCCAGTTGCACAGCCGTGGCGCGTGGCTATTCTCATGTTGCGAAGAATGCAGCGCGCGCATTTTTTGCCCAGCTGGAACACTGACCCAGATATTACATCACACAGGTGTCATAACATTATCGGAAGGATGCATATTGAAAGAAAACAACGTAATTATCCATTCACAGAACAACTTTCAAAGTGAAATGAAAAGAAATGGATATGAGGCAATGGAGCTACCACAAGAATCCGAAGTCAACCAAATCATTGATGGATTGAATATAACACTTTTTCCTGAAAATCATGAGGAACCTTTGAAGATATTGAAAAGGAAAATTGACGTCGTCAAGACCCAGCAAGAAGCAGTAAACACCCAAATCGACAGTCACGATACCCAACATTATATTACCTACATTATTTTAACAACAATTATCGTGACACTAATATCTGTTTGGGGCGTAAGAACAATAAAGAAACGCCGCCAGACACGTGAGGTGGAGATGCCGAGACCAGCTCTCCGAGCCGGGCCCGAGGCAGGTCCTCGAAAGCTAAGCCGTCACCTGTCATTACCACGTCCCAGGACAGATATTGAAGAGGACATTAATAGATCATCGGAGTCGGCACCAGCTGTTATTTTCCATAAACATGTGCAAGACAAGGCGACGTCTCCTATGTGAACCTAGCTCTTAAGAAACATGCTTTTTTTGTATTGCTTTACATTAACAAATTTTACTTTACTTTTACTTTAATTTTTACATGTTTTTATATCTTTACCTTTTTATATCTTAAGTCGGGAGCATGTACGAGCAGTACATTACATATGTCGTAACTTAACCTAAATATGTTGCTGATCGCGCGCATTGTCGCGCTTACATTTTATGTACAATTACGTGTAATTTTAGTACAATAAAGACCTTCGGACAGTACAGTGCCTTACATATTTTGCATCAACCTACCTCAACCGAACGGTGTACTCAGGGAAACATACAATTCCCATCAACATACATTCTTACGATCATTTTACATTACATACGTTGGGCACGAGCCCCAACAGGCATTATTTGGGTGTGCATGCTCGATAGTCGATCTTATCGTCACTTTCCGTCAGGAGAGATTGATATAAAAATTTAACAATGAATATATGTTGAATAACAGGTGAATAATAAATAAGTTTTTAGTCAGCAGAAACTTAAACATAATTTTTGAAATGTAAACAACATATTATTTTACACATGCCAATATAGGGGATGAAAGGGAAAAATATTGAACCCTATATAGCCCAACCAACAACACGCTCATCTTAAAGATGTGCTTTAATAACAATAATAATAATAACTGAAGTGTAATATTGACGCGCTAAGCAGACTAAAGAAATAAATTCATATGTATTTTTTTTTTGTATTTCATAAGACATTTTTCTGTGGAATTACAGATATTGTCATACTATGAGGCTTTTGAGGAAAACCTGAAATCATATACGAGCTTAACACAATCTCTGTATCAAATCTTATGAGAGACGTGTAGCTAAACCCAGACACGAGCTTCCACAAAAATAGATTTACTGTTGACATCCTCTGAACTCACATTTATCATATTTACGCGTTCTTTTGTAGATACATTACTTCTACAGCTGTGTTAGCCCAGTGGGGAACGGTTGCTTCTTAATTACGAAGTCATAGGTAACAAGCATGTACCTATTTAATTTCTAAGTTAAGTCCTTGTAAAACGTAAGAAGTCCCTAACCCGCATGGGGCCAATATGGCTGACTTTGGCCTAAACGGTACTGGACAACATCAGATACATAGATTTTAAGACTTTCGTGGTTATTCACTAAATGATTATCACTAGTATCAGGTTTCTTACCACGGTGTGACATCTTTTTATTTTCCCGATATTTCGGAACGGTTGTACGCTCCATGATCACCCGTGACCAACCGTTCAACCGTGTAACCGTTCCGAAATATCGGGAAAATAAAAACAAGTCATACTGTGGTAAGGATTTGTACTGTAATTATGGGAAAATAGAGATGAATATGTTATAGGCGAAAAATATGACGCATCCCGACGCTTCTGGGTGCGGGTGATGTTGAAACGAGCACGTGGCACTTGTCAACTTATGTCTCAGTTTGACAAGCGCAGTGGCAGTGCCCCTCTTAACTATGCGATTTAAAGCTCTGAGTGGCACTGCAACTGTTATGGACGTGTAGCTTACCATCAGGCGCACGACTTTTCACTCTCAAATTTAAAATATTTATTTAGTCGAATGCTGATGTTTCTGCTACGTGATATTCATAATTGTTTTTGTGAAAATTCTCCACTAGTTTGTCATTAATGTTGATTAGTGATGCAACAGACCTATGCTTCTGCTTCCGCAACTACGGAAGCTGCACGCTTTTTCACATCTGTTTCCGTTTCTGCTTTTATGACGGAATTTTAATAGGAAGTTTGTAATGTTTGCGACGGTTCAAGGGCTAATGCGGATAATTGCACTTAAGAAACCAAACCAAAATTATGAAACTAACAACAAGGCTGTTGGGAACTATTTTGTACAGTTCTTTATTGTATTTACACTTCCGCTTCAGCAACAGTTTCCGTTTCCGCTAACATTTACTTTTGACATCCGTTTCCGTTTCAGTTTCCGTTATGACAGTTCCGTTACATAACTAATGTTGATACAAATATCGAACAAACACAAAGAAAAATTCCATCGATTCAACTGGACTTCAACCCGTGGCTGTAGCCACGGGTGGGGCAACAGACACTGGTTCTTTGTATCAATAACTCTAAAAATTTTTAATTTTTTAAAATTAAAAATTTACCACGCGTGCCATCTTACTGTAAAATCAGACCATGTATTATAGAATTAAGTTTATATATTTTTCGCTAGCTACGTTACAATTCATCACTTTATTCTTCATGTACGTACGTACGTACTTTAAAAATCAGACCGTGTGTAAGTTTAAAAAAAGTACTGAAAATCTGAAACAAAATTCATTGGATTCAAAATCAAAGAAAAAACGATCATGTCTGAAAATTTCTACCTGCTTAAGTAAGCTTCCGCAATGTTATGTAATTTCATGAAACAAGGTTGTACAGCACAAAAATCAAAGTAAAAATCACGCAAATAAAAAGCATAACAGAAACAAAACCATGGTACAATGTGGAATCAATCTGTTGTCTGAGCCGTATATGAGAGTCATCTGTTTGCTGCCTTTCCTATCATCTATGGTTCGTGTAATGATGTCAGCATACTGGTGCAGTGTAGTGAACACGCTGGTAATCGTCGTCGCCCCGGATATGTTGTTCCTGGAACACTCCTGCGGGCCCATGGAAGTGATCCCGATCTGAAAAAACAAACAAACCGAGCGGACACATTTAGTAGGTCTCTAGGGTTTCCAGTCTCGCTGCCATCGAGTATATGACCAGAAATAGAGACGAAATACGGGCCATCTATCCCTGGCAATTAATCAGGCAAATGGGCCTTATACGTAGGGCGCACTGTAAGTTTCCGGAATGAATAAGAACAAAATACTATTATAAATGGTCAGAAATGAATTTATTGTTTCTCAAAATATTCTCCGTATTTTTTCATACAAATGAACCAATTTTGAAAACATTTATGCGACTATTTTTCATACTCTTCGACAGCCTCTTCAGGTGATGAAAATCGTTGACCGCGTAACTGGTTCTTAAATTTTGGAAATAAATAAAAGTCACAAGGTGCCAAGGTCGGGACTGTACGCGGGATAGCTCATAAGGTCAATGTTGTTCGCCTTCAAAAATTTATTTGTTTGTCTGGCCGTGTGAGAACTGGCATTATCGTGGTGCAAGATGACGGCGTTTACGGTTATTTTTAAGGAGTTTGTCAATAATTTCCGGCAAACAAATGGTCGTGTACCAATCACTATTCACGGTACAACGATTCTCCAAAGCAACAGTAGCCACGTGTCCAGTTTTATTAAAAAAAAGAAGCAATCGTCCGCATAGAAGCACTTTACACCCGCTGCTCTTTGTTTGGTTTCGGCTCATCTCGAAAGACCCATACGCTCGATTGCTGCTTTGTTTTGGGATCGTAACTATAAATCCATGTTTCGTCACTTGTTACTATGTCCCACACCAAATTTGACGCCCTTTCGTTTAATCTGGTAAGCATGGCATTGCACCAAGTGACACAATCCGTTTCTTGAGTCTCAATCAAATTGTGTGGGATCCACCGAGAGCACAGCTTTTTCACACCCAAATGTTTGCGTAGTATTGATTGTATTTGACTCATGCCTATGCCTAAAGATGTCCGAATGACATGGTATGTCACATGCCTGTCTGTTTTGATCGTATGGAGTACAGCATCGATGTTTTTGTTGTTCACAGCAGTGGACGGGCGTCTATCACGAAATTCGTCACTGAGATTCACACGACTACGTTTGAATTCTTCAAACCATAAATAGCAAGCTATAATTAGTAGTCTTGCATGGTGCTTCATCGCCAAAAGCAGTTTGAAGCCGAGGGAAGCTCCGCTGAGCTGTTACATTACACTTAAAGTCGTAGAAAATCTTACTACGACAATTTTCACAAGTTAAATCCATGGTGATGTAGACAACCAATTTCTAAAATGACGCGACAATGTAATAACAAGTGACAGTCAGATGAAACAAACTGTATTCTACAGCCAAAGAGTTCCATTTTCAAATGTTGTAATTACTTTTTAAATATTGTTTATGCATGTGGCCAGTTCCGGAAACTTATAGTGCTCCCTATGTATCGGTAAATCAATATTAAATATGTGATTTTTAAATTTTCGCCCATTATAGCAAAGCTCAAGTTAAACTGGTCGTTTTGAAGTGAAACAATTGACGACCCCCGTCAATTGTTCGGGCCAATCGGAGCGCAGCTGCTGTTACCGTAATAATATGGCAGAATAGTTTTCAAACAAATTAAAAAGCATTAAGTCCGCCTTTTGTACCCTTTGTATTGTGGTCAATAAAGTTTAATAAATAAATAAAAAAAAAAAATGACATTTCGTTTCTATTTTTGGTTATATACTCGATGCTCGCTGCATATCCGCGTCCCGGGAAAAAACTCGAGACACGGTGCCTTCCCGAAAATTCCGGAAAAATTATAACAAACACATTTAGGCTTTCTAAACATGTAAATCAAAATATAAAATAAAAAAAAAATATTTTTTTCATTTTGTATAATGACCCAGTAGAGGGGCTTCCTCTCTCTCAAACGTCAAAAATCACTGAAAAAAATTTGCTTACAATTAGTAATGTAAATTTAAGAAACAAAAGGCGTTTGATAATAATAAATCAGGCACCCGAAATATTACATCAAGAGCTCTCTCTGAAGTACGGACTCGTGCGTGTAACGGAGGATGCCGTATTACAAGTGTTAACCGGAGCCAATATTCAAAAACGACCGCACCAAATTCTATCACGACCGATCCATTATTACAGACAGGATTATTCTTGCGAATAAACCTGATATTGTGATATTGGATCGATCGCAGTCGAGGGTATTTCTTGGAAACGTTACCATCCCGCATGACGAGGGTCTGGTGAAAGCCGAATCCGAGAAACATCGGAAGTATCTCGATCTGGCGCCACGAGATCACCGACATGTGGTATGTGGCCTCCACTGGAATAATCTCAATTGTTTTGTCCGCAAATGGCTTAATTCCAGTCAGCCTTGGTAGCAGCTTCTGTGTCGTGTCGCTTCCAGCACAAGTGCAGAAAGCGGTCCTGCTCTATTCGGCACGTATTGTACGCCGGTTCTTAAGTCCTGAGTCCCTGACCCCGGCCGAATGTGCCGTAGCCAGAGAATACCGCCTCTCCCACTTAAAAATTCAAAATTAATCGTTTAGGCCATGAGGGAGGCAAGAGTGCAAAATAAATATAATAATAATTAATAATACATCTTTTATTGACAGACAACTGAGATTCTTTTAATTTGTCTCCAAAATAACCCTTAAAAGTGGTGAAATAGGAGATGAAAGTTTGCATAGAGAATCAATCATTTCTCAATTAAGTAGTACAGTAGGTTACTCGAACTACTTATACCCTACACAGACGAAGTCGCGGGCTCCAGGTAGTCTAATAGAAATATGGAGTAACATAATTACATAGGTGCATTGACTTACAATTATATGGACGTCGGGTCCGCGCTAAAAAGTGTCCGAACTTATAGGGCGTTAAAATCGTATACAGAGCGTCATTCACGCTTTAGTTTTCGTTTGTTCGACTGACAGCGAAGCAAGCAAAATTAGACAGTACTGCGATGTCATTACAATTTAAATTCAACGTTTTAGCTTTTTCATATTCCTTTACATGTCACTACGTTTAAATAGGTTGACTTGGGACATTTTTTTCGTGGTTTTTGTATTAGACCCGTCGTCCATTTATTTGTAAGTCAATGCATAGGTGTAACAAAGATGGTAAAATGACAGACCTGCGATCCGTTATACACCATCGGTCCTCCAGAGTCTCCCGAGCATACGCCTCGTGGGTTATCACTGCCAGACATTGCACAAATGCAAAATGACCACGTCGTACGATCGCATTTCACCAATGTCAGCTTCGCGGCAAACAGCTGGTTGCCTAAAGCCCATGCCGGTTCATATTTTGTGGTGCGCCCAAATCCTAGTACCTGTCAATTTAATATACTAATAATGAAATGGTCTATTATTGAAAATAGGTATTCATGACAAGGTTAAGACTGTACTGATTTCTATACTGTTAATTAGCTGCTATGTGGCTAATGTTATAAAAAAGTCGAGTCTGGGAGTCTACACTCTAAGACTCGGTTCCAATTCATAATACTCGGCTCATAAAGACAGAGGGTCCCTCCCTATGTGAGGGGCACTACCACTGCACCCGTCAGACATAAGTTGAGAAGTCCCATATGCCTGTAATTTCACCAGCACCCTTACACTTCAAATCCGGAACATAGTAATGCTGACATTAATGCTGGGCGGCAAATAGGGTGGTAGTACTACCTTGGACGAACTCTTTCACAAGGTAAGGCTACTAAAGTTGTTTTAACGAGTCGGGTTACTGCGCGGTATTGTGGTGGGTGTGTTAAACTGTAGTATAATTAAGTATTAATATATCCTTTTTTTAAAATCACTATATTGGGTTTTTGTCTTTTATTTCATTCGTGGGTAATAGTCGTAATTTAGTAAAATTGAACCCTGCTTGTTGCACTCATGGTTTTGTGGAGTAGAAGTGGATACTAATCCTGTCTTTGCGGTAAACATTCAACATATCCTGAAAGTACAACGGATTCGTTATAATTCGGGTTTCGGTGTAATAAAAATTGGAACAAACATTATTTCGGAAAAAATAAAATTCGAGTTTGTGATAGGTTACCGTAGAAGTCGCTTCGAGTCCAGTTTTGGAACTCGAGTTTAGGTTTACAGCTCGAATTCTTTTTAGACTTGAGTCCGTGCTCCGGAGACTTACGCTCGTGTCGACTCGGATTCGTGAGTGTTTTAGACCACTGAGTCTAGTTTATAAATGTAGACTCTCGGACGGGTTCCAAGTAGACGGAGGTTTTTTTTTATACCTGGCGGATGAGTCCAGTCCATCTGATGTAAAATGGAAAGTGGAATCCAAATGTGAAGGAACTTAGTGCAGTGTTGATGATACAATCACTGCCTTAGCCACCCTGCATGCCCTACGTGGTTTGAAGGACCCTATGTCATACAACTGAGGGAATAGGTGCGCTGGAAGGGAATTCCATTTGTCGATTGTTCGACAGAGGAAAAAGCCACCAAACCTTTTAGTTGGCGATGGAATACGGCAAGTAGTAACGTGGTGACTACAGAGGCCGACACGTGTGCTTCGGAGCAGGAAAGGGGAGAGCGGGATAAGGTCGAATAATTCTTCAGAACACTCGCCATGGTACATCCGATAAAAGGCGCCAAGTAAGGTAACATCTCTATGCAGTCGTAGAAGTTCAAGCCGATAACTTGTAAGGCTGACGCTGCCAACTGTCCAAGGCACCGAGAAGGTACTTGGCGGAGCCATCCCAGAGGTGCGAACAATACTCAACGCAAGACTAAACCAGTACTTTGTACAACAGGCATAACTGGAGAGTTTCTTTTTGATTTTTAATATTTATAATACCAGGTGACGGGACGAACAAGTCGTGCGACTGGTGGTAAACGACACGTCTATCAATAGCAGTTGCAGTGCCATACAGAGCGTTAAATCGCAAAGATCTTAGGGGCACTGCCACTGCGCCTGTCACCCTGAGACAAGTTGACAAGTCCCATGTGATTGTAATTTAACCAGCACCCTTACCCGTCAAAACCCTCACTGCTTGGCACCAGAAATAGGTAAGGTGGCAGTACTTCCTTAGACGTACTCTTTCACAAGGAGTTCTACTGCCTACCATCGAATATACTATAACCAGAAATAGAGACGAAATATCTACTATCCATAATATAACTATCCATCGCTGGCAACTCATCTGGCAAATGGAACTTGTATCACTTTTAAATATCAACTCTCGTTTGCACTGAAATCATAAATTAGAAAGCTGAAATAGTATATTCCAAAAATATTCTCTAATTTATTGTAATAAAGATCTATAACTATGAGGGGCGGTTCCATTCGGTGGTGTGAGAAAAACAGCAAAATATCTAATTACAAAACAAACGAAATCATATTTCATCGGTAATTAAATATTAAATACATAATTTTTCAATTTCCGTCCATTATCGCAAAGCTCAAATTAAAGTGGTCGATTTGAAGTGACACAACTGACGACCCCCGTCAATTGTTTCGAATTCGGGCTGGTCAATCGGAGCGCAATTGTCACCGTAATGATTTGGCATAATAGTTATCAAACAAATTAAGTGGCATTTTGTCTCTATTTCTGGTTATATAGTCGATGACTGCTACTAAGTACTAGTGGAGCTTTATCACTTTTTCTAATCAATTCAAAGGAGGTTTGGGCGTAGGAGTAGTTCGTAAGTAGTTTGACATAATTTGTCGAATAGTGACAAAGGGTGGTTCGTACCTCAACATCTCCAAAGTTCAGTTTATTTGGTTCATACTCCCGCATGGCTTGGAGGGTGTTAATCACCAGCGGCGTGTTAAGAACCAGTACCTCCTTCGTGCGCACCAGACCCACGTCGTTCCGGAGCTCTACCACGTCCATGCCATCACCTTGATCTTCTTGTTTCACGTGGAATCTAAATTGGTGTGTATTATTAAAAGGGTGTATGATGATCGATACGATAAGATTATCTATTTTCACTCGGTTTAATGATATTTAATATACTATTCAAAGGATGTAAATAATTAATGAGTGGTATACAAGGAAAGGGTATCATTTCATTGTGTATAATAAACCTTCAGTATGACAAACATTGATTATGATGATTAGTTAATACAATCAATTAATACATTTTATGTTCAGCAACGCCATCACGCATTCAACACCTACCAACTCATTTGTTCTCTAGGGTACTACTTGTGAAGAGGTAGAAAAAACAGTAGTGTCTCTAGTGTGAAATCCGACAGCGCAACTGGCTGCAAAAACTATAAAAGGCAAAAACTATAAAAGAAGCAGTAGTACCTGCACTAACTTATTTAATAATAAATCCCTGGTGTATTTCTCCGTGCGTTAAAGAAATCGATTGTTGTACACATCCACAAACATGGGAAAAGAGACTGTGTAACCAACTACAGACCAATGTCATTATTAAAAGCTACGTTAAAATATTTGAAGAAATAATCAACAAAAGGCTCACTAACCATCTAGAAACACAAAATATCCTCTCGAAGTCACAATTCGGCTTTCGACTAGGTAAATCGACGGATGATGCTCTCCAGTATTTGACGAACTTCATTATAAAAAAATTTGATCACAAAAAGAAGTGTCTAACTATATCTCTAGAGCTTGCAAAAGCGGTTGACACAGTCTCTTTACCAAAACTTACGAGGAAACTTGAAACAATGGGTTTAAGGTGAACACAGCTCAATTTTGTGAAGAGCTGTATGACAGATAGAACTCAACAAGTAAGGATTGGTTCGGTTCTGAGTCGGGAGTGCGGTATTTCTTTCGGAGTTCCTCAAGGTAGCATTGTGGGCCCTACCCTCTTCCTATGTTACGTAAATGAATTATGTCAGATGAAATTAAGAAATTGCAACATCGTATCACAGATGACACGACTCTGACGTTTTACGACGACACACGAGAAGGGGTTTTTGAACGTGTCCAAGAAGGTTTCAATACCCTTATAAAATTGCTAGCCGTGAATTTCCCTATTTGCCTTTCTTTTTAATAATATCAAGAGACGGAACGAACAAGTCGTGCGCCTGGTGGTAAGCGACACGCCTATCCATGATAGTTGCAGTGCTATTTAGAACTTTAATTCGCAAAGATATTAGGGGCACCGCTAGTGCGCCCGTCACCCTGAGACTTAAATTGACAAGTCCCATGGGCCTATAATTTCACCAGCACCCTTACCCTTCCAAACCGGAACGAATGCTCATATTACTGTACGGCAACAGAAATAGGTGGCGGCACTTCAAACTTGCAATTCAAAGCTAAGAGTGTATATATTGTCATGCAATAATTCCTAACAAATGCAGTATCGGCTGGTAACCGATGGACGCCCGTTGCGTCCGATCGGCGGGTAACCGATGGACGCACGTTGCGTCCGATCGGTTGGTCTGGAAATCTTTGGAGGAGGCCTATGTTCAAGAGTGGACGTCTTCCGGCTGATATGATGATGATGAAGTGCTGTATTTCATACACATTCAAGTCATGTAATAGTTCCTATTAGTAATTTTTCTATTTGTTTTTAGTTAATAATTTAAGTTACATTTTATAATTTAGTGTTTACCACACTTGTACTTACGTGCCATTTCATTTTATAAAAGCCGTTCCAACTGAAAACCAGCGTTATAGCAGGCGAGCTGTAACATATTCTGAGTTGATCCGTTTCAGCTTATAGATATATGTAATGATTAACGTGTTTTATCTGTGTTGCTTGATTTCTCTTAAGCTGAATACACGTTTCTTTCTTTCTTTCTTTATATATAATAAAAAATATATGCAAAGTGATATTGTAATACATATATGAAGCGAGGGAAGGTGAAGAAAGATGCCTGGAGTCTCCAAATGTTCAATGGCGTTTATTGATGTAGTTGTAAGATCGACATTAGAGACGAACTTCCACCCATTATTGATGTCAGCTCACTGTCCCACCCAGTGGAAGCGGCGGCCGGTGGTAGGGACGGTTCGATACAAGTAAATACGAGTAA